TAATGCAAAAAAATTTGGCAAATCTCGTCATGTAAATACAGAAGATTCGAAATCGCCTTCAATTGAAGCGTGATACCTCACGCGTTCCGGAGAGTTCAAATAGTTGTATCCCTGCGCCATAGCAGGGCGATAGACGCTTAATATTGAAGTAGCGTCCCCACGTTGTTTTTCGGGGTTCCTGTGCCGCCACTGTAGTTCCAACCGTTCAGGCCGTCCTATTAGGGCGCTAAAGCCAGGGTTGTATTTCGCAAATGGATAGTTTTGCAGAATAATTCAAAATTCAGCAGCAGGCGTAATTTAACTAAATAACAAAAGGAACTCAAATCTACATGTCATGTAATACAAAAGATCAAAAGATACAAAAGATGTCGTCATGTAAATACAAAAGATTCGCAAACGCCTTCAATTGAAGCGTGATACCTGACGCATTCCGGGGAGTTCAAATAGTTGTGTCCCTGCGCCTTAGCAGGGCGATGGAAGTTTAATATTGAAGTAGCGCCCCCGCTTGGTTTTTCGGATTTCCTGTGCCGGTGGTTTCCCAGTTGATTCTAAGATATTGTAAAGTCAACTGACGGATTGAAATTTAAAATATGTATTTAGTCGTTTTTTCATGCATCCAATTACACAAAATTCGCAGTATGAACTTCGTAATGTAAATTTTTTTAAAATGCTACAGGATGCTTCTTTATTTTCATGTTTGGAAGGAAGACTTGAAGAATTAGGTAGATGAAATTGGTGCAGTTTTCAAGATTTCCAGACCTGGAGGAGAAAGAAGACTTCCTCATTGAATTAATCTTATGGGTATCAATTCTTGATTAAACGCTCAAATTATGAGCGCAGAGGAAAGCCTGGAGAAAATGAAGAAAAACGAAAACTTTATTAAATAAATTACTAATCATTTATTCATCATTGAAACATAAAGATAAAGCTTACATTAAAACAATTTAAAATCGTGATAATATTTTATTTTAGAATATAATTTGTCTAAAAATTTAGATCTTAACTAAGAGCGTGCTGGTAATGATTACTTACAGAGTTAATGAGAATTTGAAAAAATACTCTTTGCTCGGACAAAGCCATGGCGTTCTTTCAGTATTAGCATTGTACTTCGTGAAGGGAGCCAATTAAAAGACGGTAAATTGATACACCTCAGGATAATCATTTCCTACGGTTCGTCATGATTAACCACGCGAAAACGGATGAAATTTGTAAAACTTTCACAATAGGTGGAGGATATAAATTGAGCTCGTAAATTAGCATTCAATTTGAAAAATAAGTATGACGAATCATGGATTTCACATTGTTAATTTTGGTAAAGCGGATCACTGTTACTTGGAAACCTCTTTTTTTAGGGAGACTAGGGGGTACGCCCCCCCCCCCTAGCGTTTTGCGCCTCCGGTGTCACGCGTCACGCGTTAGGTACTCTCATGATTTTATATTATAGAATAGGATAGAATGTGATGAGTAAAAGTACCTACTCGACAGAAAAAGTTGCTCTCTGCTTTTTCTAGAGTTGCAGCAAAGTTAAAAACTGGCGACCAGATCCAAAAATTTGCCCAAGTAGCGTGACGAAAGATGTTGGATGTCGTCATTACAGCAAAAGACAGGAGTAGCATCTACACATTGGAGTCCCCTCCNCCCCCCCTCGCTCAAAAAATAAATGAAAAGACACGCAACTTTGTACTGCCGTGCTAAGGAAGAACGCCGTATGAACATTCGAGAGTCGCCAAATTTCGTTAGGTAAATTTTTTAAGTTCGAGGAAAATTATGAATATTTTTCCTTGAAATTTTCAGACACTTTAGATCAAAATTACAAACAAAATTATCTGTGAAATTGGCGGGAAAATATGCAAAAAATTTCCTGAAAATAAGTGATTTACCAGAGGACATTTGGCAACGCCTGAAGGCTCATACGGCGTTTTTCCGTGTCACGGCAGTGTGGGAGCATGCCAGAAAACGCTATAGATTTTAAACAGAGACGGAAATGGTGCATTAAATGTGAGGCTCTGTAAAGACAAATAAGTAAAGAAAAACCTCCTCTCGATTTTCCTCCTGCTTGTAACAAAACACTTTTACGATGTAGGCGCACAGTGGATCGAGTCAATTAGAGAGGTCGAACACGAAGTGTTTGACTAAAACTGGAAATTTTGATATTTATTCCGTCACATTTTCAAGGGGTGCTTAAAGATGCAAATTTCGCTAGGAAACCAATGGAACCACTTTTAGAACCTCAAAGTCTGTTATAAACGGAGTTAAAAGCGTTTAAAGTTTCCAAATTTTGTCCGACCTCCCCCACTGACTCGATCCACTGCGAGGCGGGGCGTTTACTGTTGCTCAAAAAATAAGCGAAATTAATTAGTGAAAGAAGGAGCGTGAGAGGAATTCAACGGAGCCTGGGCGCACTCAGCGGCGTGGCGTGCTTTGCGATTCATCGATATTCCCTCATTTGAAGCTGTGGTAAATAATCGATTATTAAGGTGTTCGCTGCGAACACCCTGTTTATCGATACTTTTCCGTAGGTTTAAATGGCAGATCAATCGATTTATCGCAAAGCACGGCGCACTAATTTTTAGCATGATGCCTTCGTAGCACGCTCTGTTTACGATCGTTAGTCACTGAAATCCGGCCTCTTCTTTTAAAAATACCTGCAACGTTATTAATGCGATATTGCCACGCCGATAAAGCAGCGCGAGCAAATCCGCCGTGATAGCGAAAGGTAACCCGGAAGAAAGAAAATCGAGACAGGCCTAGAATAATTAAATGCTTGATGCTCGATGGTTGAACCGTAAATTTTTGGGATGCAGGATAAGGTGGTGTTCGAAAATAATTCATCCTCTCAGTAATGACCGTTTGAAACAGTGGCGTTGCTTGCTTTGCGATTTATCGATTGTTATGCCATTTAAACCTATAGAAAAGGATCGATAAACAGGGTGTTCGCAGCGAACACCTTAGTAATCGATTCTTTACCATAGGTTTAAATGGCATAACAATCGATAAATCGCAATTCGCGCCACGCCACTGGTTTAAAACTTGCTCCAGGTTTTTTTTCGTTCATTTTCCGAAGAGCAGCGTTGAATGGTTGTCTGCGGAATTATGAATTTAAGATCAAAAATTTCAAGCTCAAAAACCGACAAAAACGTTTGCATGTAAAAGTTAGATTGCCCAGTTGAATTTGGCTATAGCTAATGTGACTTGGTTCTTTTCTGCTTAACGCGATCCAAATGGTACATATCGACGGCGACACTACCAGACCACGTATCTCGATTGCGGTGTTTAAGAATCTCCGCTCCCATTTTATTTCTTCGGAGGAAAACAAATCAATATCATTTCTTGAAATGTTCTCAAGAGTTTTCTTCCCATGGAGAGGACTAAACACGGAAGTTTTCAAGAATTGACGTCGAGTGGTTTTCAATTTAAAAAATAAAGTACCTATGACAGGAAGTCTACAGCGGCGCACACTTGAGCGAGTTAATGGGAGAAGTCGGACACAATTTGGAAACTTCGAAAGATTATATTTTCGATAATACGGAACAAAAGAGTTTAAAAATGGTTCCATTGGTTTTTCCGTGAAATTTCCTATCAGAAACACTCATTGAAAGTGCATTTGTGACGAAACAAACATTAAAATTTGAAATTTTAGCCAAAAATTTCATATCCGACCTCCTGTACTTGTTCGCTCCACTGTGCGGCGCAAACCGAGATACGCAGTCTGGTAGTTGACCGTCGATATGTGGTTTCTGAAATTAGCCAAAAGCAATAGTTCCTGATTGGAAAACGGAGTTAATTCATTTATGATCTGACATCAACGTTGGAACCCTGCAAGGGAGCACGTGAAGCTTGGGTGGGATGGGGGGTCATCCGATCTGCTCTACGCAAAGCCCGGGGAACGACTATTTAAAATTGCATTTTGAGCAATTAAACACCCATTTCTGTAAATAACGGCCCAGCATCGCAGAAGCTGCTATTGCTATTTTTTCTGAGCGAGCTAAGTTCTCGCAGGAGGTCGAGTCAGGCAGGACGGGAGTCGAGAAAGTTTAGTCAGTAAATAAAGTGAGTTCGCTTTGCATCGCCCTCGACGCTCATGAGGGCGACTCGAGAACAGCGTTGACGAAGTTCGAAAGATTCATCCAGTTTCTTGACGAGAAGTAGTTTAGCCGTGCTACTTATGAAGAGTTGCGGGCTAGTTGTTGGAATCGATAAACAAAGCTGAAGACAACGAAGACATAGGGAGTATGGAGCGAGCCTATTGGTTGAAGTGGGTGGTTTCTGTCAGTGTTCGAAAATCACAGGAGCCAAATGCGCCTAAAAAATGAAGGTTCTGCGCCATCGTGGCCCCTAAAAATTGCCCCCTACTAAAAATCTGAATTTTCATATCAGGTGATTATTCGAAATTTTCAACGCTACAAGTGAAAGATTTTTCTATTCTTCACGATTTCATCCTTTGTGCTCTTGTCTTCCCCAAGTTACAGCTACTTACTAGTTCTGTTGCGAAAACATTTTGCTTCTAACTTTTCACTAAGTGCACCGTAATATATGTTTAGGCAAAAAGTCAATTTGGCCCCTAAAAAATCCTCAATGGCGCCTAAAAATCGGGCTTGATGCGCCATTTGGCTCCTAAAACTCAAAGGTGATTTTCGAACACTGGTTCCTGTAGACTTAGGAAGAAAAAAATGGACTAACTACATTATAAAGTCTCTTGTGGGTTGCCGTTAGTTAGTCTATCACCTACCTTCTTTGTCCATTGCAATCACCAACTTCCACCAATCGCATCCCTCCTTATCCATTTTGTCTTCTTTGTCTATCGATTTTTCCGTACATTCAACAGTCAGCCGGCAGCGGGCCGATCATTTAAATTGATTAATTGATAGACAAGCTATAGAAAGGATATGAAGGGATCCTATTGGTTGAAGCTGGTGGGCGCGATGGACAAAGGAGGTAGATACTAGACTAACTATCAGCAACTCGCGAGAGACCCTTTAGTTAGTCCTTTATTTTCTCCCTTCGTCCATTAGAACCACCCATTTCAACCAACAGGATCCTCCACATCATATGTCTACATGTCTATCGCTTTGTCTATCGATTTCAATAATTAGCCCGCAGAGGAGAGCTTCGACAAAATAGTTCGTTAGTCAGTTAATTTACTTGTATTAGAGACATTTAGCATTTTAGGGTATCTATGCCTCTACAGAAAATATGAAGGGTGAGTGCAAATACAAAATTGTAATTTCTTACAGGGTTGCCACAGTCAGGAAAAACCGGGGAATGTCAGGAAATTTTAAAAAGTCAGGGAAAACCTGAAAATGTCAGGGAAAATTGTTGGGTCACCTTTATTTGCTGTCTGGAATGAATTTGACGTTTCGAACAAAACATTTCGTCTGAAAACTATTCCTAATATTATCTTATCAACCATTTGCATATCTTCAATCGTCAAGGAATTTCACCAAAATGTGTCAGGGAAATATCAGGGAATTTCATTTTCTAAATTCTATGGCAGCCCTGTCTTAACTTAATGGAAGCGAAAATTTCAAAATTTTGATTGTAACACTGGGATCATCGTAGGTTAGTGGGTTTTTATCCTTGTTGAATGTCGGAGAATTTTTGAGCGGAGATCTTCGAGGGCAGAACAGTCCGTACCACAAAATCTATGCTCAAAGTTGGGGGAAGATACGTGTAAAGGAGCACTATGAGCAGTGGCGTGGCGTGTTTTGCGATTTATCGATTAATCGGCCATTTAAAACTACGGAAAAGTATCTATTAACAGGGTGTTCGCAGCGAACACCTTAATAATCGATTATTTACAACAGCTTCAAATGGGGAAATATCGATGTATCGCTAAGCACGCCAGCCACTGACTATGAGGAGTCAGAGGACAGTCGGATTCAAATTTTCATTAGCCTGCATATAAAGGCGAAAACCTACAGAGGAACGATAGAACAAGAGAATCACAAACAGCAACTCGAAAAATACGACAGAACAAAACGATGATACTTAAGACAAAGTCGTGAAAATTCCCGGTCGAAGCTTTTAAATACAAGTAAAAAAGAACGACATTAACAAAAGTGATAATACATTCAGATATACATACATGTAGTTAAATAAAACAATATAAAGTACATTTCTTTAGAATATTAACGTTCCAGTGTTGGTAATGGTGGTCTCGGAGCGATGCTTCGAACTGCCTAGCTACGTGGATTTTTAGCATCACCTTGTGGAAGGAGGAAGTTTTTGACCCGTGTGATAGGTTTATTTAATGAAACAGAAATTATAATTATGCTCGTAATTCTTGTTAACGTTGTTTGGTCAAAGGCTTCTTTGGACACTCATGCGATTGTAGTGGTTTATGGGATTCTTTGCTAGAGAGAAGCGCATGTAACTACGTGGTGCAAGTTTGCGTGAGAAATTATTTGGTTATTATAACTAATTAAAAAGTATGCTCTTTTGATTGTTCAAAATTATTGATTCAAAACTCAAGAGCACTTCTCAGGGGATAAGTTTTACAAATCTTCGTGGGATTTAGACATTTTTCACGTTTTTTTTCTCTCTCTCATTTAATAGGACATCATTAGTAAAAATGCTCCATCCTTATGGAAATTTGAAAAACATCTGGCATTGTAAGGTGTATGGTAAAAACGCTCGTTTCACAAATTTTTCAGGGTAATTGGGTCACATTTGCTCAATATCTGCTCCCCGCATTCTTGCCATCTAAAAGGGGAGCTCCTTCAATTTTTATATGCAATTTAACGTCCCTCTTGTCGAAAAATTGTCCGACTCGGTGATTTCATTCGCAGGAGGTGAAGCTTAGGTTAGCTAAAATTCACGCATTTAAAGGTGGGTGGTGCGAATATTGAAAGAAACATCTATAAATATAAAAAGGAAGAAATGAGTGAGATTTAACTTTCAGCTCATTGAATGGGCTGGCGTTGAGTAAAAAACTAATGTGGTTTCAAAGCAGCTCTCCGAGACAGAAGAAGTTGTGGAGCTTTGATCAAATCATGTTCTATTTGCTAGAGCGGTGAAATTGAGTAGGCAGCGAAATTAAAAGGACGAAAGCGGAGACGATTAGAAAATAGCTCGATTGGAACCGCGATGATGAGTTGCAGCCGTCCTCTTGACAGCAGTAGATCCTAGTTCCCCACGATTGTGCTGCAACACAAACAAAAAACCAATTTCCATTAAGAAGTTTTCTTTCCTCATCCATCATACTTCCGAGTCTTTACTCATGCAAGGGATAATTTTCTACGCTATCTTGTATTTATTTTGTCAAGTGTAACCGACTCTGAAAAGAGAACTCATATCTTAATTTTGACAATTTCTTCCATTAAGCGGCAATTAAGAAGGGTGCATTATGAAACTCCAAAAGAAACTAAAAACTTGGAGTAAAGGGACTCCGTACAAGTCACCATCCTCTAACAAAGTACCTCCAAAAACTCTTATTCGTTTTCCTCTTTACTGAAAAAAGATGAAATTACTAGTATGTACCACTATATTTTACTATGTATTACTATATTTCCTAATATGTACCTTAGCAATGTCTCTTTAGGTAATGCTCTGAAGATGGGACTGAGTTCCTGAAATGCCTGTAAATAATAAAATTGTAAAAAAAAATACGCATCTTTGGCTCACGTTTTCACCCCTTATCATTATATGTAGATGCAACATGCGACTGAACAACTTTTCAAAAACATTACTGCAAAACAGTTTCCATTGCTGTCTCAGAGAATCTCCAAGCTGAGCTAAGAACCGAACTCTCAGTCCCAGTTGCAGACACATTTAACTATTTCTTTGGGAGCTCACTAGAAGATAACTATAGTCCTCCATCAGACAAAAAAACACCCCGCACCCTCTTTGCCTTGTATATGCCTGGGAAGTACATGAAATGACTTTTGAGACGCGGGCAAGTCATATTAAAATTCACGTCGTCTTCTGAAAATAAGCTACCATTTTTACCACGAAGAAGAAGAAAATCGAGTATAGTTTTTTCGATACACAATAAGTATGCCAATAAGAGGCACCAGGAAAGCCGTCCAAAATTATTGATGCAACCTGCACGACTCTTAAGTGAGCGAAAACATATTCAAAGAATCGTGTAAGAGTTTTCTTTCTGATTAATAATCCCCTTCAAAAATGAATGACGCAACCGGCGCGTCTCGTATTCTGTCGATACTGCAGCTTCTCCAATGAGTAGGTGTGCTTTGCTCCTTACACGATTGTAATTTCTGAGAGTAACTTTTTATTCGGTAAAAAGAATGGATTTAAACTTTTTATATTCTCTTTTTTCCTCCTTTTCCGCGTTGACAGACGCCAATTTTTTTTGGAAAGCACGACGCGCCCGGCACAGTGCGTAACAGCTAGTGTGAGTCAAATGTCAACTTCATAACCAATACTAAGAGCGGCGGCAGAAATGGATGATTGAATTTTTCAGTTTTTTTTTAGTGGAATTGAAACTTCAAAAATAGTGCTAGAAGTGCAGATGCCCATTGCAGTTCGCTAATTCAGGTTGAACCTCAGTGGCAGCATTGGGCCAGGTGCGTCATGCTCTCCAAAAAAATTGGCATCTGTCAACGCGGGAAAGAAGGAAAAAAGGAGAAATAACCATTTTGAATATTCTTCCTCCCAAACAAAAAATTCCTCTCCGAAAATACAGCTGTGTACGGATCAAAGCGCGCTTACCCATTTGAGAATCTGCCGCACCGACAGCATACGAGTCGCGCCGGTTGCATCATTGATTTTTGAAGGGGATTATCGATTCAGAAAGAAAAATCGTACACGATGCTTTTAATACGTTTCCACTGACTTCGAGAAGTTTCGATTGCAAGAAACACTTGGACGCATTTTACCACCATTGCGAAGGGGGGGGGGGGGCGAATCAGAAACAAGGTTATGTGTTTGTAAACGCATTTAAACCATGACATAGCCACTAAATCAGTGTATATCGACGGAAAAAGGACGTATAGATGCCCAAGGACTCCCATTTTTTAATTTATCTCGCTGAAGATCCTCTGCTTGTGGAAACCTGGTCGGCGGTGATTGAACAAATTTCTCGCAGACGTGAGAAACATGAAAAAGCGTGTTACAAACTACGCAAATTGCGAGCTTAGGAATGGATTTCAAACTTTTTCAAAGTGCCCAATGTGATTTCCGTGTGATTTTACCCGCGAGGAGTATATTTATTTAACTGTATCAACTTGCGTGTAACAGACCCATTTATGTAGAGAACCCAATGGCACATACGCTGTTTCTGTATTGAGCCAGGAACCGTATAACTCTTTATTGAAACATGTTGCCTACTTTAAAACCCCACCGACTGCCGAGAAATTCTCTGATAACTATACGTAACAGCTCCCCGCTTGTTTTCCTCGGTTCGAATCACAATTAAAATATGACGGAAAAAATGCGAGAACAGATGTAAAAGAAGTGCAATAAATTGGACAAGACTCGAGTACCTACTAAGTTATTCGAGGCGGGTCCTTTGAAAATAAAGGTTTTACGCAAGCTGTAGTGACGACAAACCTCCGGCAGCTGAGACGCGAAACTTTTCCTCTTATCTTAAGACTATTCGTCTTGGCAAAATATATGAGTTTCAGGGTCCAGGCTCTTCCTCACTAACATCGGAGCAGAGAAAAAAACATCTTCCTCGTGGAAAAGATAAACTTTGATCAAGTAATTTCATTAGATGTAAAAACTTCGCCGTTTTAACTGATGACCCAGTTGCTGTGCGCTAGATACACTCTCTCTGCATTTCTACTGACCTAACTCAATTGCTTAACGTATATAATCGTTACTTCGCCAATCGTTGTGTGGGCACCTGCAACTAACCTGCAACGTAATTTTTGGCATCCGATAGAGAAGTTTTCTGACGGGAAGAACACTGACAAAAATATTTGAATCAGTGAGTTCGAAAACACAACCAACTCGGAAAAAAAACGCATTATATTTTCCTTTTATAAAACTTTTTCCCCATCAATTTCAACGAAAATGATGCATGCAGAGTGTGCAAGCATTTAAAAATCATGAGTTGAAAAACGGTTATTCCGCGAGTTTAAAGATCAGAGCCTAGCACACAGCGGAGCGGCGCGCGTGCTGCCAGCGGCGCGACACGCACACTGGCGCCTACAAACCTAAGGGGATACTTCACGCATTGCGTAATGCTTGAAGTATCCATTTAGGTTTGTAGGCGCCAATGCGCATTCAGCGCTAGCCGGCGGCCGCCCACCACGCCGCGCCGCAGTGTGCCACTGCGCACAGTGCAGCCCTCTGTGGACAAAAATTAACAATTCACAACTCGACATCTGAATATTTTTTTTTGGAGTTTGTCATCTTAGAGACATTTCTGACTCATTGCTTGAGTAGCAATTATTGCATATTATATTTGGAAAGTCGGCTGATGGCTCACCTTTTATTTCGCACTATGAGTAGCCGACAATTTAAAAATCTTGTTTATACGTCTGTATATCTCGTGCGCAAAACAGTCATTCACATTTGAATCAGTGAGTTCGTAAACACACCAACTCGGAAGAGAAAATTGTTCAGGAAACTCCTAAAACTGCGCAGCTAGCGAAGGAGTTAGTTTAAGAAAAACCTTTTTGGTGCCAAAGGACAAGTGCCAAGAGACTTTGTAAAGCACCACGCTGAAATCGATAGACTATGTTTGAGAGAATTAAGCGTTTAAAAATTTCCGAGTTGGTGTGTTTCGTTCTCACCGACTTTCAGATAGTGATTTTTCATAGTCCACCCTGAAAAATTTATATTTTTCGACCTGAATAAAGCTTGAATATTTATATAACTTGTTGGTACAAGGTACACTGAACCGAAAAAAGAAAACCGCAAGACCACATGGTCACCCGTTTCCCTTGAAATGGCCAAAAATTGGTATTTCCAATTAAATACTTCGATTTTTCCCTTTTCCCGCCGCTGTTTCAAGCACTTCAGATTGCAATTTCGACTTTTCCTTTTGCGTGCAGATGCCTCTATCCATAAGTGTTACTAAACCGTAAAAAAGTGAAAATCGAAAAAAACCCGAGTTGGTGTGTTTTCGATCTTTTTGATTCATTTTTCTTATTGTGTTACTTTTAGTTAATATAAGAAGTGGAACACAAAGCAACACAGATTTTATGTTGAATTTAATACAGTTTGCGGTGAATTTAGCGCAGAAAACAATGGAGAGACCAGGAAAATGCATTCCTCCGATTGCGACCGTTGGTACTCACCACTCGTTTTTTATTTAATTTCTTCAAGAAAACTAGCTGGCATTTTCTCTTGAAATTGTCAACCGAAGGCTAAGGTTATTTTGTGTTTTACCTCCTGTATGAACCAAAGTTTTGAGTTGAAATTTCTCTCTGTGTATATCGCAAAAACACAGGAGAATGGATGCAAGACACGTCATTATTTTACCTTCAATTTTCTAGGTGGACCAGAGGGTGTACTCAAGGCTTGAAAAGTTATTTACACGAGGATTCGTGTATTGCGTTGTCTAACAATATTACCGCACAGCTCAGAATTCAGCTCTAACAGGTTGACAAATTTTGTCCAACCATAGTCATTTAAAGGCTAATCCGGAGATTTTTCTATTCAAAGGGTATCCCGGGATAAGCATGTCAAAATGCCCTTGTGAACGGATTTTTATTTTAACCATTTTAAGTCATCAAGGGTGTCCTAAAACTTAGGTTTTGGGGAATTTTGGCCCCCCAACCCCCTCCACCCCCCCTCAGACCCCCAAAAACCGCTTTTTGGGGCTATTTTTGACTATGCTAACGTCTTTTCCTCATAACTTTCGTAATTTTCGTTAGAATTGAACCAAAATTTGTCAGAATCTACATCAAT